GCCTTCGAATAAGCCCAAAACAGTTCCTGTGCTTGCGAATCGATATCTTCGGGGCTCATGGATTGTGGATCAGGACCCCATGCATCTCCATCATCTGAACTTGTATCACTATCAGTGCCGCTATCCACATTCTCAAACGAAGGGAAGGCATCTGAGTGGGAAGGATGGGATTGCTGGTGCATGGGACTATAGTCCTGAGATGTCCAATGGGTGGTGGCATAGGGATCATGTTCTGACCAGGCTGGCCCTTCAACATCATGTTCTTCTTGGGGGAGAACAGCATATTGGTGAGCTGTGGTGGAATCCCGACCTCGAAGCGCTTGTGCGACGTTTCCGGGCGAACATTCGAGGATATGGCCCATGCGGCGAATGCTGGTGCGCATCTGCTCGAATTGCTCACGAGTGCTCGGCATTTGCCCCTGGTAAGGAGCCAAAAGCTGAACCAGTTGATTGTCTGATACGCTAATGGCTCGGAGAAGGAGCCATGACAGTCCCTCCCACGATACCGTGAGCCGGCCCTGCTCAGCAGCACGAGTGCGCACAACGTCAAACCTCTCTAAGAGGGTGTCCACCTTCTCGCCTGGGCGTGCTCGGAAGTCAAAAAGCTTACCGAGTGATTCCAACCTAATCTCCTCCGACATCCTACCGAATCTGGTCGCCAATTCGTGCATCACATATGTGGTTGGGTCCACTTGAACGCCGTTGATCGTTCCTCCAGCAATGATGATGGTGGGTGGAAGTTGCCTCGCAAACTCTTGTGCTCCACCAGTCAACTGGGACAGAATAGCCGCGCATTTCCGGGAGGGATCCCAATCGCTCATGATGGTCCAAAGAAGAATATCCCTTGACCAATCTGCAAACGAATATGTCGCCTCTCTCTCCGGGCCCCACTGCGGGGGAAGGCGGCCCTGCTGCCGTGCTGGAAGCATGAAGCAGATCGCACTTGTGATGCACACCGGAATACATGCGAAGACAATCTTACTTGCAGTAGACCTAGTCTTCGGGGATACACTGGCCGGTCTGAGATCAATCAGGTGGCGACTAGCCTTAAGTACCACGGCCGGATCATGCAAGACTGTGCTGTTAAATTCATGGTACATGCAATGGTTTCCAATCGAGGAGGATTTGTTGTTCACCTCTCTTTTCAACTGGTCACCCTTGTGGCCCCACATGGGTAGTGGGAGGGATTGGTAATGGGGACAGAACACATCCAAGAACAAATTCAAACCCTTCAGGTTTGGGAAATGAATCAAAGTTGTGTTCACCCCTTTCGCCCCTTCATGAATGACGAGCAATTGAACATCATGCACGATACGACGATGTCGAATGCGATGCTCTGTCCGCGACGCATTCAATGCATGCAACTGGACACGAATAGCCCTCCGCCGTCTCCGCTCAATCAACTCTGCTTTGCGCCGATTAAAGTGGATGGGCAATCGTGTCAAATGGTAGCTCCTGGACTTCTCATAGCCCCTGGATCTCGAATGGCTCCGAAACTCAAATGAACTGTTGTCAAATGAACCTTCGCCAGCAAAGCCGCCCGTGCTCCTCAAAATCATCTGACCTTCGCCAGTCTCTTCCAATGCTCGGGACAATGTGTCCTCTGTGATGCCCACTGCCGGCCTGAACGGCTTGATTGGCACCTGGTCCGTTTTCGTCACCAAAACCCAGTCAAAGTTCAGACCGACAGCGAGCACCAACAGACAGGCTAACATCGTCTTCATTGCGACGGACAACATGCCGGGATCCGCGGTCGACAAAAAGGAGGCTGGCCTATGGGGTGGTCCGATAGGGATAGTGTAGTGGTCTTAGATGGGAAAGTGATCAACCAAGTCAGGTGGTCCTAACCCCAAAAGCTAGCCTACAGCCGGGTTACCGGCTCCGCTACCAACTGAAAAATAAGGTGCCCTAAGGAACCTGAAACAGTGGGTGAAAGTAAGGAAAACAAAGCTGAGTGCAACGCGGTCCTTTTCCTCTATGCTTGTGTCACATGAAGTGCCTTGTGTCGTGCCTAGGTCGGAGTTCTTGAGCCACCGGCAATGGTATTGAATCTGTACATGTATCGAGTGAAGCGAAGACTGGAAGCCGCTTCGACCTGCCGCAACTTCGACTTGGCTGGCAAAGTCTTGACTGGGGACCATCTGGAACATACCTTTCGAGTAGTGTGAGCCTCAGAAAGATGGAAATCTCTATATATCTATAGTACAAGTCTCATCCAAGCACTCCAATGAGTGGCTGACCAATACCAAGAAGACTCTGTAGTTTCATCTGAAAATACTCCCCCAACAATGGTGACGTGATGTGACGTGGGCCTCCAGCCCTGGCGTTCCGCTCCGCTAGCTCCGGGTCGACGCTTCCGCGGACAGGGACACCACGTCCCCCGGGTCTGAGACCGCTTCCAAGGGAATGCTGTGACAAAAACCCTTGTCTTACTACCAGCAAAATCTTGAGTGAACAAAGAGAGACTGAGCCAACTGCTCGAGTTCTCAACAGGTCTGCTGCTGATGGCCATCATCAAATCACAATAATCTCACGCCAGACGACTAATAGACTAGAATATTACAGTGGTTTCAGAGTAGATGGCAACATTTCCAAAATTGATGGTTCATATGGACCCCCAATAAATATAAACATCTTGGGGGTGCCATTTGTCACCTCTGAAACCACCCCACACGTCTAGACACGTCGACTCGGCTTTGCCGCTGTTCCACTCCGCCGGTGTTCCAGTCCGCCAGGCCACACTCCTACTTCCAAGAGCAGCGTGAGGCAAAACGCCCAGATGGGCATCAGCTTCTCATCGCAGACCTTCTCATCCAGCCGTGAAAAAAAGGAAACAACTTGACTGTACAAACTAGACTGATAGAGCCTGAACTTGTTATGCCAATATGGATGTGGGTTCAAAACCCGGAGCCCCCAAACCAGGGTAGGTTGATCTATTCTGTTCATTTTGGGTGCTCAACCAAGGTCCCCTGGTTTTGGCCCACGGCCATATTACAGAGGGACAGTGTGTCTGTGGGTTCGATATCTTATGTAGAATTTCGTGTCGATGCAACCTGGCAGCTTCCCCGCTTACTCTTCCTCCACGTTTCAATTTCGAGCACCCACTTATATCAAAAGGCCCAGGGAGCCTCCTGCAGGAGCTCAGCAGGTACTTCCTGGACTTTCGCCAAGGGCAAACGCCGGCGGCACGTCAAATGCATGGCCTCCGGAGCGCTCGCTGCGCTGAAAATACGTAGCATAAGCTGGGCGAGTGGATGAAGACCCATAGGGTTAAGTCAAAGGGTGGCGAACTATATCACTCAGTGAACTCAGTGTTTAATTGGGATAGTTCCAAGAGTAAGCCAAGCCGAATCAGTCTTCGGTCCAAGAGAGGCCATCTTTTTGGGGTCTGTGCAGAGGTTCGTGAAAACCTCCTCTTTTTGCACGAATCCTTCTGTTTTTTTGCTGCTTGTGTTCCTTGATCTCCCAAAGTGAGGGGAAATGGCTGGATGTGTTCTCTTGCTCCTTCTGGTCACATCCAGCACAGCTTGGAAAGAATACACCCCACACATTGTATCATGTATACCGTCTGCTAGCATAGGTGAGGCATGAGAAAGGCCAAATCACCTTGTTCCTCCACCCAGGTAAAATTTTCCCAAATCACCCGATCACCCCGTCATCTGTGAGCATCTCAAGAGCCAATCTGTGAACCGACGAAATCTTCTGCTCGTCGATGTTCACAGAACCGAGACGAGCGGGCTTTGTAGTTAGATGTTAGGAGATGTTAGTTCTTCCCATCAAAAGGATTCAAAAGGAACATTTGGAACGGTTGGTCCATCAACCAAAGGTCCGACCTGCTCTTTGTCAGCCGTCCGGAGGCCTCTCGTCGCCTGCCTCTCGGCGACCCTTTCCCCCAAGACTGCAGCCCGGACAGCCGGGAAACGGCTACAGGACAGGTGAAGAGCGAAGGACAAAGCAGTGAGGGTGAAGATCCTGACGAGCATCCCCTAACACAGCCCCCACCTGGTAGAGGTTCAGTTACTTCTTGGTTCCCAGCACTACCAAACAAAGGTGCAATCGGTCGAAGAAAACGCGAAAACGCTTGAGAGTGCAAAGCGCCCGGGGCCAAAAAACAAGTGTTGGATAGTGTTGGTGGGTCATGTCAAGTCCAGTACAACTGGTAAAGCACAACTCATTCTTCAATGCAATGAACGAGAAAAGCCGGGTTTTCGACATAAAGCCTACTTTTTTGTAGGGTCTGGAAGCGCTAAGTAGAGATTTCTGGTTCAGCACGGCAGGGGGCATCCCATGACCGATTTCTTTTCTCATTTATTTATAGAGAAATCTGTTTAAAATTCCTACCACACCAGAAACTTCTATGTTTCAGGGTCTGTAAGAGTACACATCCAATGTATTTAGCTCTCCTTTGATCTCTTCCAACCTCACTATGGTTCACAGGGCACATACCTCCACTACGCGAGACATGGCACATACATCCAACAAGCAATTCAATTTGATGCATGCACTCAGCTTTGATACCTCTTCCACGGCTGTCCACCGGTCTCCGACTCAGATTCTTCACCATCTAAGGAAGAGACGTGACATGAGAGGAACGGCGAAAGAAGTGGATGAGAACGGGCGACTCCGGTCCAAACTCATCTCCACATAGACTGAATGCAAATCAATGCCTGCATGTAACCATCGGATCGAACGCTGCATCGATGTGCGAGTGACGCTGTGACCTGTGAAAACGTCCCGGGACCTCAGATCTTGACCACTTAAGAGCTCCACCATCTTCGTCTCACCCCATCGACGCAAGTGGTCAAGACCTCCGATGAGAAATCCAAATATGTTCCATTTCGCTCACCGTCTTCCCAACTTCCTGTGATGAAACTCCCTTCTGAAAAGCTGACTGAAAGATACACGTCCATTCTGAAAACCTATTGTAACATATTGTAACTATTTGTTGGAACTCTAGAGCTCCGAACGGCTCCCTGTTGAAAGGAATCCAATATGTCTATGTCTGATATGCCCCTTCCAATTCGCGCCGATCCGTCCCTAACTCACGCTACGTTCCGATCGGAACTTTTTCACCGATCGATGCCCTTCTCGTTCAGGGTCACCAGCCGCTCAAAATACTCATCTGCCCGGCCTGATGGCGCGTGCAGATGAAGTTTGGAGGTACACTCGTGAACACCCGTGAACACCTGTGAAGACCATGTGAAGCCCCTTTTCAAAACCCGTCAAAAAGGCTTCACATTGAATGTCCTGGTGGGAGTCCACAAGTCCCGCTAAAATGTGGAACAATTTGGAAAACATCTCCAAATTCAAATTCATCATGAGCCTGCAAACTCACACACCCGAAATGGGTATGGACCTGTCGGTTCATCGACCGTTTGGGCCGTTTGCGCAGCTCTAGCCTGGTGCGAGCTGGAGCTAAAACTAAAAGCCTTTGCGCCAGTGGGCCACTTGAACAGGTGGTCTCCTTCATCGAAAAAGGGTCGCTCTGATGATCTTCTTCGAAAAAGGTGATTTCTCCATGGGTCTCCTTCCAAACAGGTCACTCCAAGTCCATGAACTCGTTTGGTACCTCCAGACTGATCCTTTTCTACGAGTTCGCATCGTTTTTCTTTTGTTTTTTCTCCGATCGGCGGTGGTTTTCTTCGATTCGTCGTCCACTGTTCGATACTCGGGATCGACCTCGGCGATGCGTCACTGAACAAAGGGCGCCCGAGCGAGCCCTGTTTACAGCCTTTTCCCTCTCAATGCAAAGGTACCACGTGTCCCATGGGTTTCTATAGTTGTTTAGTGCACTCTGGTCAAGGTCACCCCCAAAAACATGGATTCTCAGGTCGGAACACGGTCGTCATCACAGACCGACGGTGTTTAAAAAAGGGTCGCCCATCTCCGACCCCCGTGCTTTGCTTCGCGCCGTGCTTTGCTTCGCGCCTTCATCTCCCAGCGCACGATGGAACTTGTTCAGGATCCACAGGGCTTTCCTTGGCGACGCACCGATCCGCCTTCCCGACCGGAGATGGGTCTGCCGCTCCGGTCGGTTTGGCTTCGGTCGAACACGCCGAACACGCCTTGATGGCGGAACACGCAGTCATCAGTGACGCGTGGCATCGCGTGGCACACGGCCGATTCGGGCCGATCCGGTTCCCCCGTGGCCTTTTCGTTTCGGTTCTGTTCGGCCAACGTCGAAACGCTCCAAGAGAACTCTCGACCGTAGACCAGTCAATTTCCGACATCCAGCAAATCCTACCATAGCCCTGAAAGGCCTGAGATTCTCCTCAATGGTTGCATTATCCTGACTTGTAACCGTCAGTCAGTCTTAGACATGTTCATCCCAACCAAATCCCAAAGAATGCTTCTTCAAGGCACTGGTTTCGGCGATTGGCCACCAGGTATGGCTCCTTGGTCCGACCAGTACACCTGCCCTCATGAATGGACTCAGCAGGTGAATTCGTTTGGTTCGGGTCCGAGTCTAAACCGCTGCGGTTCTTCTGATTCTTTGGTGTACCCTCCAGCAGTGCTCGCACCCAATGATGCCGGTGTTTAATTAAATAAACACCTTAACCAACAGAGGTTGAAGAACCCTATAGGACTCCCTATAGGCTATCCCACAGGTACCCCAGTAGGGTCCTATGAGGTTGAGTGACCTCTGTTGCTTCATTTGCCTGGAACCGTGATCCAACGCCATGCTTGATGGCACGAGCCCGGGCTCGTGGCCTCGCCATGGCAGCGGCGCGGAAGGACGAGAAAGAGGCGGTTCTGCCTGTGGAAGACTTAGGCAGAAAAAGAGGAACGGGTCTTTTGAATTCGTTGGTCTTCTGTTGCGTGATGTGAAACCTGAAAACCATTGAAAACCTGAAAGCAGCGACCTCATGGAAGCCATCCCATGTCTGCCAAGGTGCCCACTCTGCCAGGAGTTCTCCCACTAAGTCCAGAAGGCCCTCCTCTCCAGCCTTCAGCCGGCGACTCAGCCAACTTGCCAACCTCGCTGGCCGCTTGGCCCGGGAGGAGCTCCGGCAAGGGTCCGGTGACCAGCGTTTTTCTACATGGCCCCCAAGCAGTGCCTTTTGACACCTGTTCAGTTTGGATCTCACCAGCACAGAGCAGCAAAGGGATAATTGATAATTTCTTGTGCCAGTCTGTGCAATACATGTCTTTGTTTTTCAGCAGATCATGCACTGATTGCAAGTGGTTCTCTAGCACGGAACTGAGTTCTCTTAACTGAAAATGTCCTGTTTCACTGTGAGATTCTGCACCGTGTGCATTCTTCAAAGATGAAGCCCCACCGGTCCACAGCTCTTCCCCCATTTGTCTCCCGCTGCGCAGAACAAGTCGTACGTACGCGGGTTGTTGCTGAGCCAGGGCTCTCGAATTGCATCGGAATGTGGTAGGGATCTTTGCGGATGCCTTCCAAGATCACCTGGGGGAGCGGCATACGGCATGGCCCCGCATGGCCCGGGTGCTCCGGATCCAAGGTCCAAGGTTTGTTTGGCATGGGCGTGCGAACCGGGGGGGGTGGTTGCAAGAAAAGCATCTGGTCCAGGCCGAAGCATCCGTGTTGTGAAGGGATGAACATGATGAACACATGGATTTGCCCAAGCAAACACAATCCGAATGATCTTCCCGCTTTATCCTTCCATGACCGAAAACATCACAATCAGATGCTGGATCCCTCCTGCAGATCACTGGTGGAATATGACTGAAGCTCAGTAACCAATAATATGAGCGTCTGCCAAAACGTATATATTGTTAAAGAGACGTTAAACGATTCAAAAGGTCACATATGGAATTGAGGGGGGCCTATCCTCCGCATGTTCAGGCCCCAGCCACGATTGCAATATAGCTGATCATATCCAAAAGCTGCACCGCGGTGTTTTCCCCTGGTGTTTTCACCACCACCCTTTACTAAACTGGTCATCGCAGGTTTCAGTGAACCTGAAAAAACTAAATCAGTGAACTACATTGGTTTCAGAATAGATGGCACAATCCTCAAAAGGTAGTTTCTAAGGACCTCCATATAAAGACATCTTTGGGTTTGTGCCATGTACTCTGAAAGCACTGAACATGCTCAGCAACTCACCCACCACCGGCACGGCACACCGGCAAACCGGTCGACGGGGCACGGTGTGCAAACCCGTGGGCACGCCATCGCGCCTCGACCGCTTTCTCCGGGTCCATGAACATCATGCAGTAGTAGAGCGCGCGCCGAGCATGAAGATCATTCCGAAGGCCTATACCGTGTCGAACGGCGGTGACCGACGGTGGATGAACCGGCGATTTTTCCGGGTTCAAGTGGCGTGGCGACCAAAACGGCGGAGCGTCTATGGAAAAGATCCGATCATTGGGTATCATGAGTGTGTTGGTCACAACATGTGGATGTTGTGGGCCCCAAAAAACAGGAGTTGCCCAACTCCTTCCTTGAAACATGTCCCCCCCTAGTGTGACACACACCTTGGGTCAAGGAAGAAGGCTGAAAGCACAGTGAGTATCTATGATGGGTCTGTCAGAAAGCGAAACCAAACCGTTTGATTTTGCCATGAGAATATGTCTCAAGAGCGAGTGAGAGAGAGAGAGGGAAAAAAAGATACTTCTATTATCTATTCACACAGCAGCCCTTCCTTCCCCCTTCACTGCCCCAGCGATGGTCTTGGAGCTCTTCATCTGTGGCATACACAGATTAGAAAGTGCATCTAGACAGCATGTTGGTCAAAAAGTTGTATCGCCTTTGGTACTGCTTTGTGTAAAGCGGACATTGCCAAACCAATAAATAGCATATAATAGCATGCAGGAAATTGAATGAAATGATAGTATCGCTTTTGGTTGTTCACTATATCGCTTTACAGGGTTCCCTCATGATTTCTATGCAACTGTTCCTCTCATAAAGACTTGTGACGAGACCCTGACCCTTTTTGGTTGTTGCTCGTTTGATGTTTGACCCTCAAGAACGTCTAGGTTGAGGCCATGCATAAGACTAAGAGGTCATCTCCATCCAAAACCTCAGGCGGGCCACCCAAGTTTACAGAGACCATTCGATACTTTCGCTTTACAATACTATTTGATTGGGTCCAAGTCTTCAGCGGTGAACACCGCGGTGAACACCCCGCAAAGCCGGTTCTGGTTCTGGTTCTCTGTCCTTTCATGAGATAGTCCTGGGCCGCTGAGGCGATGTCCTGGGGGCCAACGGCAGGTGGAACCGGACCCGGCCATGGATGGCTTGAACGGCTGAGCTTGGAGGCCAAGGACCTCAGGTGGAGGTCTGTGTCATGCAGGGTCAAGAAAGAATTGTGCTCCAGGGGAGTGTAGGATGTCACGGTTCCCTTCAAACCATGATAGTAAGATACAGTACGTGATCTGATCTTTTACGCATTCCATGTTTGGTGTCAAGAAACACTTCTACTTCTTAGGCAATACAAGTCTTGTGCACTTGGACCGTTCCGTGTCCAGCTACCCTCCGACAGTGGAGTGAGGAAAAAGCCGCAAGGACTCGGAGGACCATGACGAAGTCCGAGTGGACTCAGACAGGCAGGTGGTGCCATCCACTTGCATGGTTCTACTCTATAGCTATCAGGGAGTGTAACCATACACCCCCGTCCTGCAGACGAAGATGGACCCCTAAAATGAACGACTCTTCTCATCTACCACCCAGTGGTTTTAGGGTCCGTGCTTCATCTGCTACGCAGAGGATCGTTGGACTCTGTGCCGACCCGCTCGCAGGCTGCTCCTCGATGGCTTCAGGATTTTCGCGCCAAAGGCTTTCGGCCATGGGCAGCGAGAAGCTCTTGAAGACATGCTGCGCCTCCTGGGTTCACCACCCGGTCATTTCCTCTATACAGACCCCCTGTCATAGAAAAGTAGATCCCCACGAAAATGGCGTTGGAATCCGTGCTACTATCTATTTGGGGACCACTATAAAGTGTGTTCAGTGTGTTCAAAGATGTTTTAATGTGGCTTCACTTGGTTAGATGTTTAGAGTTGAGATGATGTTCGACGCGTGAAACATTTCCGAGGTGTGATATTGGGGTCAGATGATCGAGTACCAATACAAAAAGAGCACAAGCTGCAGCACATGAGGCCAGGTACAGCTACACACTATTTGTGTTTCTCAGGATATGGGATTGGTCAGCCGAAAGTCCAAGGCTCGCGTCCAAAGATCTATACCCGAATGCCCAGGCCCAAGAAGAACGGCTATACACATTGGAACATAACTATAATGTGAACAGAACGGCCTTGTCTCGTGAAGAAAGGTGTTTTTTGTGCTAAACCGTACTTCTTTGCCTCGCCAAGCGGCAGGCTGCATCTCTCTGCTCTGGTAACTCACCTGCACCGCCGCGAGGCGCTTGTCTGGCGACTGCGAGAAACCCGAGCATCGGGCGCCCAACCCGTCTGGCGAAGCCCGAACAAACGAAACGGCGAAAATGGTGGTGGCCCAACTTGTTGGGCGAATGGATCGAATCCTCTGACTCGCTATCAGGCTTCTGGAAAAAGAAAACAACTTATTCCTTTTGCCCGTTGCATGTTTGTTGGAGAGTTAAAGCATGTATACATATTATAGGGTAAACGGTTTTTCTATGTTTTTCTCCTTCACGCCGTGAGGCGGTTCTCATGGATTCTCCGGCTAGGAAACTTCCGCTTCGCTTCGATGTGATCCCCTTAAATAGATCGAAAAGCTTGTGTAAAGTATGGTGTAAATCTCATGACATAGAGTTGTATGACATACAGCTGTCCAATGACTCACCAAGACAGAATGATTGCTGTAGACATCTGTAGACTGTGGGCCCCTGAAAGACGAAAGGGCCATGTTGAAACATCTTTCCATGTCAGTTGGAGAAAAAAAAACATGTTCACAATATGTTCTCTCCTCTGCTCTCTCTTCTGTCACGTTCCAAAATAGTTATATAGGTCAATTCAACATCCCTGGACCCCGAAAGACTTCCACATCCTTGCACCCCGAAAATGGGTGCGCGGGCATCCGCAAATAGTAGGCTGGGTAGTCCAGCAGGACACCCGTTGACAGCCCGCTGTCCCCAAACTCAGACGGTCATCAAACAAGATGGTCCTCCGAGCCCCGTCTCCCGTCCATCCGTCCTTCTACAGGGCTCGGCCCCCCGACCGCCACGGTGTCTGCCAAGTTCACCACGGCGTGGTACCAACCGTCGGGCACATAGACCTGGGACTGCGGGTTCGCATCCTCACGCGGTGTTCGTCGCTTTGCGAGCGCGGTGGACCGTGGGAGCACCTGCGGGTTCGCATGAAACATGATAGGTAAAGAATGATGCATGATACGGTCCACTGATGTCCACTGCTGTAGTTGGACCTGGGGACCTTGGCGAAAAAAACCTTGGAAGGCTGATAGGACATTGAAACACTACTGAAGGCGGTGATATGTTCTATCATATGGGACAAAAAACAAACACATCCCTGAAACAACCCGTAGGCAAAAACGATGGACAGCCAGTTTTTCGCCGTCCACCGTCCAAACCCATTAAAACCACTTCGAGCCCACCTTCCAAGCCCCCCAGTTCGATGTAAAGGTTCACTTCAACTGCCGAGGAGCGATATCTCCAGCATGCACCACACATTCCAAGGGCCTCGGACTCGTGCGATCCGACGCAAGGCATCGGCCGATATGGATGGATGCGTGTCTTCTGACAGCAAGTGAAAGCAATGTGACTTGAAACATGACGATCAAAAGCTTTTGCTGACTGGTGCGACTCGTAGAGAATGAGGGAATGGGCCCTCACTATAGATTCCTTTGGATCCATTCCCTCATTCCCTACTAAGCACCAGTCAGTTTTGTGTTGCCTCAATTATGTTCAAAGTTCAATCGTTCCCCTGCAGCTGTGGGCCTCTGGTCAGCACTGAGCGTGGGGTAAACCAGCTGGATCCTAGGCGCCGACGCGAAAAAGCTTGCGTAGGGCTGGCGAGAGGCTGCTTTCTCTGCAAAGGCAAGGCATCATTGGTACAGTGTCAGGCAGAGTCAGGTCTTCTGAATATGCGCCAGTTGCCTTTGAAGGGAACCCGAACCGACGGGATCTGACGCCGCGCCATGTTTTGTGGGGGCCGTGAGGCCTGGAATTGTCATGCCAGTTGATGTTCACCTTTCAAAACCAGCTCTGGTCTGATTAGACGGGTTTTCCCACAAATATGTTGTCCACAATGCTAACTGAGCCTTGAGAAGTGAGTGTTGATGGTGTGGTCAATGAAAATTACAATGAAGGACCTGCCTTGATAGTTTCAATGAAGCTTCTAAATAGTCAAAGATCATTAAAGATTAGGCTCCGAACAAGCTCTTTACTTGGGAAGCTGCTCCCCTTGGAACACAAGACCAAGCATGCTTGGTGACCGTCTTCCACCGTCTCCCACGGTGGGAGTCCCACCTGATCACCGTCCGCGGTTCGAGGCTCCAATCGGTCAAGGAGAAGCCGCCGCCCGGCCCGTCGCCCGGCGGATAATGGTTCAAGGGATAGAAGAACCAGCGTTTCCTCCGCGGAGCTTTCTAGCGGAGTTGTAGCCAGAACCCAGAAGCTGACTAAGTATGACTCAGTCGGATGAAGGAAGTGGATGTTGATGCGAAGTATATGACTTTGAACATGTTTGAACACAAGTGCCGTGGCGGCTGGGGGGTTATACAGATTGGTTCAAATAAAAATACCTGAGAAAACTAGGGAAGGTTGCTCTAGACCGGGTCAGCGATGCTTCCCCCGCCCCAAAACCGATGAGGTGAGGTGATGATGAGGAGAACTCGGGCGGCGAAGCACCTAGGACCTAGACCTCAACCTCAAACGGGCCCCAACCTGGGCTCAACCAGAGCTAGGGCCACTAGTTGCCACTAGGGCCACTAGTTGCCACTAGCTTGGGTCAATCCTATTGATATCCATTAATCTAATTCGAACGAATCACTGGCGCGTCTGCGCGTTCGTGAAGCCTCTTATATCAGCCACTGTCACAACTGTGGTTGCTGGAAATGGGATGAACCGATAGATCCAAAAACGACGGTAATCCTGAAGTGCTTAGAACATGTAAATCCAAGCCTGGACAAACACAAGGCCATATTTGGAACCAAACATCCGGCCCCCTTCTGTTTTTCCGCAGACTTCAGCCTTCTCGGCCTTCACCAGCAGGGCCACGCCACACACGTTCCCACCACACCACGCCAGGGCCGAGGGAGACCTCCGACCCGCCGAACCGTGGTCCTCGGCCAGACCGGACGCCGTGGACGCTCCGACGGCGGTCTCCTTCCATGAAGGATCATCTGCAGACTCGCGCCATGCGTATGCCATCCCACGGCGCTGCGGGGGCCGCCCAGCCTGGAAGATGACGCCCGGCCGTTAGACAGTTCGACGCTGGTGAGGTTTCGGTTCAAGACGGAGACCGAAAGCAACCGAGACCATAGCCAGGATAGTCAGGTAGATAGGTAAAAAGCTCTCTGGCTCAGAGACATGCTGTTGATTGCTGTTTTCTCTGCATAGCCATCAGTCTGTGAGGTCAATATTGGTCAATAAATGTTTGTTCATGCCTTCAGAGCGCAAATCCTTTTCAATGAGACAACGCGAAGGCGTTGGCATATGTTGACTGTTCATTTATAAACAATGAGAAACCACGCATATGTGGAGATCTTTTGCTGCGTCCTATACTCCATTTTGTGGAGATCTTTTGCTGCTTCTTATAATTCCTCCAATCGACTCCCTTGGTCCTTGCACGTTCTTTGCTTCTTGAAGATCTAAACAACCGCAGGCCAACAACTGCAGGCATCGTCTGTATCAAGTTTTCAGCAGAACAAAAAAGCCAAAACAACGTTGACGTCGGCCCAGCCAAAGCGACATGCTCACGGTCTCCGCCGCATCGCTTTGGGTCAAAGAAGTCTTCAAGCTTCGGATGGCCTTCGGGCTCGGACACCGCAGGAGCACCACGTGGCATGCCGACGTGGCACGACACGGACCGCTGCGAGCGGCCACGAGCCGAAGCTTCGAGGTGGGCGTCGTTGTGAAGGAAACACACACCTCGACGGGTCGCCCAGGTCCTTGGACGGGTCGCTAAATCTGTGAGCCAGCGTGTTGTGCTTGTCTTTCTTTTTGGGGAGATGGAGGGAGTGTTGACTTTGGAGGGTCAGTCAGTCCATAGATTCATAGATTCTGATGCTTTGGGATCCATCTAATGCACCATGGTCGCTGGGATGAAGCCCAGGTTCGATCCATGTGGCCGTCACGAATTGAGGCGAAGGGGTTCATCCATGCTCCATCCATCTGTAGGGTCAATGGGCGGAGCTTTCTTAGCTGGGTGGAAGTGATTTGCCACGGCAAGTCTATGACATGAAGCACATCTATCGGCCCTGCTTGTTTTCCATTTCGCAGCCCGGAAGGTAAGGGGGATTTGTGCCTCACAAACCAGCAGTTTTAGTCCGGTCGACCGAGGAATTTATGTATAGCACCTGCAATGTTTATTACAAGCTTGCTACCCCGAAGTGAGGCAATGCAAGACGACCCCTTTCTTTCTTGATGTGGGTCCAAGCCATGATATCTCAAACATGAGCAGAATCACCCACCCAAAAGAACAAGTCTTACTCAGTCTTACTCTCCCTGGACCCAACATGGAAGTGGCAAAACCCCTGTTTGTAGAGGAAAATGGTCTTCCAAGTGGCCACTGTCCACTTCCACGTTAGTTCCAGGCAGTGTAAATGGTGCTGGGGAGTTCAGCTTCAAACGGCTCCATCCCTTTTCATGGTTGGATTTTCTCCAAACGGCACCGCTCTCTTCTGAACACAAAAATATATACAGACCCCCGCATCCAAACACTGCGCCTTGGGGAGTTCGATGCGTGGCAGGCCCGGTAGCTGGAGGCCCATATCCTCAAGGCGTCGCGGTGGCGCAGGGCTTCGCCGTGAGTTCGATTCCATCCGTCAGGGGTCGCCGGTCGCCCCGGTCGCCTACGGCCGATGACAACGGGACCGCCTCGGAACTGGAGGAGAAGTCGATGATCTGAGATTGCTTATCACATTCACCTGTTCTGCTCGATACTGATTTGAGCAGCTACATCACTACATCACCCTCAAACTGATGTCTGCCCTGTGAGATTTCCTGTACGGTATCCTGTGGCACATCAATTCCTATTCCCAATAAAGAAAACCAATCTTTCTGGGAATAGTTTAGACATGTTTAGACATTGACTCCCAGCAAATGATCAATTTCTACACTGCAAGGCTCTTCCGCCAACCCCCCAAATCTGCATGCAGGAGGGTGGGTGTTGCCCTCCCCTCCCTGACCCATTCTCCAAGCATCAAAGGCATAGATCGGCTCCAGGAAGGTCTCCTCATCATAAAGACCTCCAATCAGAGTGGAGAAAACCCATCCATCGAAGGGTTGTCTCTTGGTGAATCACCCCCCCACGCCACATGGAAGCTTTATCGTTGATTTAAAGGTCTACAACAATAGGTTGCAATTGTGCTAATTCTGATGTCACAACCAGGTTGAGGGTTTCAGCAAGCCACGGATTAAAAAGCCCAACCCTTCCTCGCATTGCCACCCCAGTTCTTAACAGAATGTTTCACGAGACCTACCCAAACTGCGATCACCTTCAGTTAATGCTCCGCGTGGTTCTGACCATCTATGGAGCCCCGTTGGGACGAAGAAGACCTCCCCTCCGCCTCTGCACTCTCCCAGAACTTCCATTTTGGGAGTCCAAATCCACCACTATATACAATAGTAGTAGGGCCAGGAGCCCCTAGTAGCTTCTTGTTCCTAGTGGTACGGCCAGGAGCCCCTAGTAGCTTCTTGTTCCTAGTAGTACGGCCAGGAGCCCCTAGTAGCTTCTTGTTCCTAGTAGTACGGCCAGGAGCCCCTAGTAGCGTCCTTGCTCCTAGTAGTACGGCCAGGAGCCCCTAGTAGCGTCCTTGCTCCTAGTAGTACGGCCAGGAGCCCCTAGTAGCGTCCTTGCTCCTAGTAGTGCGGCCAGGAGCCCCCCTATAATGGCAAAATGAGTCATGTGGACTCTCAGGGTCTGCTCCTCCCAGAATCGCAGAACCCGTGCGCCACCTTCATCCATTCCCTCCACGAGGAAGTCTTCGAGCCTCGGGCGCGCGTCGGCGGCTTGGCGGCGGCTTTGCGGCGGCTTTACTCGCGAAAAGGAGGGCGTGGTGATGCGAGGTTTCTGATGCGAGGGAGCAGGTTGAGCATATTGGAGGTGGAAGTTTTGAGACAGAGTGACACATGGTGTCCTGCAAGAAAAAAGCTGGATAGTATGTGAGCAAATGCCATCAAATACCTACACTAAAAATGGGATGATGTTAAAGTCTAGCAGACGCTTTCAGCCACATCACATGTTTTATGAATCGTGTACTACAGCACCCTCCCATGCTAAGATCCCTTGAAAATGGATTGGCTTAAGCCGTTTTCTTGGAAGTCCATTCTTGGGAAGCCGCGTCTAAGGTGGTAGCTTCCAACCCGAACGCTCCATCTATGGAATATATGCCTATAGACCCCAGAAACCATCCCAATGTATATGCAAATATTTCATAGCGTGAGTGTCTGGCTGACATAGGTGTCAAGTGGTTCAAGCTGCGCAAGACACACCCAGGCCCGGTGATGCTTCCATGTGACCAAGCCGCACGAAAAGATCATTGGCACTGCAAACAGTTCAGGGTTCCTACATGTTCCTACTGTGGTTGCTAAATGTGTGAGCTGGATCTACTTGCTCTCCGAACTTTTTGCGAAAAGTCGAAAAGTCGTGAAAAGTCGCGAAAAGTCGAAAAGTCGCGAAAAGGTGCGAAAAGTCGAAAAGTGCACGAAAAGGTCCCGGGGCTTGCCGGGTCCTTTTGGCGAGCGTCTCTTTTTGCAGGTCATCGGGGCTGCATGTTTTGACCTCCAGATCCTCTCTCCGTCTGTAGGAGCAAAAGCAACGTTTGGATCAATTCTGGTAGACTTTTGTTGAAGGGCACGGCATGTGACTGGTGTCCAAAAATCTCGAAAAATCGCCAAGTCTCGAAAAGTCAAAAAGTCTCGAAAAGTCGAACAGACTCGCTGCGTGCTTTCGTTTCCTTTACCTTTTTTGACTTTTTGACTTGACTTTTCTCATGTTTTTTGACTTTTCTCACTGTTTGACGGTTCTCACCTTTTGACTTTTTGCGGTTTGCTTGGTGTCTTGCAAATAGATCGTCGCTAAAGGATTTAGCGAGCTTAGTCGACTGTCTTAGTCAACTCAGGTTCGGGAAATAGAATGTTTACTTATTGGAATAACGCTCCAATGGACCCTCCAAAAGATGACATTGCCACCCCTGGCACCGTGGTACGGCATGGAAGAACAAGTCTATATGCCGGAACTCAATTCTTGTTTTGACCCATTCTTTTGATGGTTTGGGGTGTCTCCCTGTGCAGACCAATAGACCAGCCAAACCCCCTGCAAAAAAAGAGAACTTACATCAATGTTGCTTTGAAAACAGAAACTCTGCTTGCAGCTCGCCACATCTGAGAGACCTTCTTCACTCACTGGCTGCCTGTGTGTCTCGCACCTCATCCACCGAATTTCCACATCCAAACTTCCCCCATTTCTCCAGACCCTTCAGCCCCGGACTCGGCGACTCCGCCCCATTCACTCCCTCTGCCCGAGTTCAGCTCCCGGGATCCCGGGCGGCATGCGTCGTGGACCTTCACCCCGATTCTGGGCGATGCTCCAAGAGTGGCCCACTCGCACTTCCAGTGGCGCCGCCTTCGCCGCCTGCGCAGAAAAGCCGCGCTGGCGACCGGGGTCGGGTCTGAGCAGGTCAAGAAGAAAGATGCGAAGAGAGGTTTTCAAAAAGGAGGAAGGTAACTTGCCACATGAACAACTTGGTTGTAAACTCCAACTGGTTTATGTTTGAACATGCTTGAATTATGGAGTATGGCGTTGACCGGGTAACCGGGTCGGGATTCCGGTTGACTGGGATCCGGTCAGACCCCCCCCACCCCGGTCAGCCGGTCAGCCGGTCAGCCCGGTCAGCGGCCTGGTTCGAACCGATGTAGTAACCGGTTAATTGGGTTGACCAAATTGAGTTGGTTTGAATGATTTGAATTTGTTTGAATTAGAATTGAACCGAGTTGGCCAGAAAACCGGCTGATAGAAGTAAATTTAATAAGATTCAAATCACAAATACATTTACATAAAATAGATCGCCTAACCGGCTGACCGGGCCCGGCTAACCGGGCTGACCGGACCGGGTTGACCGGGCCCGGCTGGTCGGCTAACCGGGCTGACCGGACCGGGCTGACCGGGCCCGGCTCGTCGGCTAACCGGGCTGACCGGACCGGGCTGACCGGGCCCGGCTGGTCGGCTAACCAGGCTGACCGGACCGGGTTGACCGGGCCCGGCTGTTTTGGAAAACTCTTTCGCTCAGATGCTCGGGACTACCTATTTATACCTGATATACCCTGAGGATCCGATATTGAAAAAAATCAATATCGCAAAAAGTTTTCAATAATATTGAACTTGCATTTTTTCAATCGCCGGATTTTTTCAGTATTGAAGAGTGAAAAATAATCCATATGTTTGATCAATATCGACCAATATCATGATCAATATCAAGACCAATATCAATGTCAAAAGGAACTCCACAGGATCTCCACAGGAACTCCACAGGATCTCGACAGGATTCTAAACTCCACAGGAACTCCACACGATCTTCACAGGAACTCCACAGGATCTCCACGATCAATATTAACCAATATCATGATCAATATCATGATCAATATCATGATTCGAAACCTATGTTGCACATACCGGTCCAACATGCGCATTGGCAAAAATCATCGTACTGGAGACCTATAGATTTGAAGTGATTTGGAGAAAAACATAAATTTTGGATCATCTTGGCAACAAAAGAAAACAGTATGATTCTGTGTGAAGATCTCGCCAGATTGCTCCTAAGTGGGAGAACATCAACATTTTGCTAGTATGTGTTGTAGTCCATGCTCAAGGGACTGTCAAACTGTGCTGTTTAACATTTGCCTTCATTGCCTGCAAGGACATTGTGGGCAACGCTACGCAGAAGAACGTGGTTTGTGGAAACTCCACTGCTGAAGTGCTGGGCAATGTGCTATGTGACTGGCTTTTCCTGCGCCGGGCGACAGAGCAGCCAGTGAGACGCTTAATTGTCTGCTTTGTGTTGCTGATGGTGTATGCGTTCAAGTAACTGTTCATTGGTCAGTGCCCCATACTCCGAACGCACAGACTGTGATTGGCTTTGACTGTGTGTTTGACTGTCAGTCAACAGTCATTATCAGAATTGTGGGTCTCACGCTGGAAGTCTCACTCCAAAACTGTGTTGTGTTCATTCATTGGATTCAGTTGAAAAGGCAGACAAGGGAAGTCCATTTGTCCAGTTGAAATTGCCACAGGGCATGTCTTTCAACGGGAAGAAGTCCCGCAGTTGCAGCTTTGTTGGTGAAGAAGGCACCAGCTAGTGGATTACGACAAAATTCGAGTAGCCCACCGGCCAGTGGTTCAAAAAGCGCTGGAGAGAGTCTCCCCCCATGCATTTTCCCCTGAAATTGCTCGATCTTTTTCTTCAGTCAGTAGCCAGGCCAGGCATGCCTCAGGCATACCTTGCTGCCCCACTTTCTACCGCCCTTCGGGCGTCGCCACTGCGGCGAAATTTTGCTTCCACTTCGTGGAAACTTGGCTTCCACTGCTTCATTTCGCCTCAGCGCAATCGCAGACAACGTGCTTCACTATGCAAGTGACAAGCCGCAACCCCTATAATCCGTTGATGGAACATCAAATGTTGAAATAATGAGGTATGATTATTTAGCAGGAGTATTTGACTTCAACAAAGGAATAGACAATGATTGATTAATTGTGAAAGGAAACATAGTTGATACAACACCTTCAGATGAGATACTGAAAAAGAACAAAGAAGTTGAAAGTGTATGTAGTAGTTGTGTGAAGAATGTAAAGGTCAAAACATTTGAGTACATCAGTAGTAAGTATGAAAGGAATGACAAATTCGGTTTCAAAGCACAAGAACTACAAAAGGAACTACCAGAGGAGTT